ATTTACTTTGCTCTTCTTGCTTGGCAAAATTATCCAAACCATATCTAAGGTGAGAATATATATTAGGGGTGCATTAACATAAATAAAATCTAAGATAGCTTACCTGTCCAGCAGCTCGAAAATACACGTTATGGAGGTCTCCCATATACGAATATTGTGATTTTTAAAAAACTGCGCATATAATTCTTCGAAAACATCTTTTGCTAGCGCCTCGTACAGCATACTGCAGGCGGTACCACATTTCAAAGCCCAATCACGGATTGCGATTTGATTTGAGGCAAGATGACGACAAATAAAGTCCTACACATTAAGTAAACGTTATATATACAACTACATACACACATACTTAGGACTACAATTTTTTCAAAATANGAAGAGTGTTAGAAATTTTCACATTAATTTTCATAATAGCTCACCATGTCTGCATTTGGATGATTATCTAAAAGCGGTTGCAACAAGTTCGTATACTCTTCTGTGGTGGCATATTTCTCCTCGGTTATTTGCTGCGCACGCATGTAATCTTTACGTTGTACAAAATTCATTTCTTGTTCCTCCAGATCAAGAAGCTTAACCTTTAGCGAAGATAATTTTAAATTTAGATCTGCATTTGATGAGCTCGCCAATAATTCGCTGATTAATGTCCGATCGTGCAAAAGATCATTTGGGTTACTGTTCAAACCGCAGATATCTTGTATGATCTCCACAAATAGCTAAATATAGAAAAAGTTGAACATTATCTCCTGTTTTTGAATGCCTAGAAAGTACATACCTGTATGCGTGCATTTTGATCAGATATAAGATTCTCTGCACAACGTACAACAACTTCAATAACCTTTTCATCAAGGCGGAATGTTTTTAAAAGATACGAAAGCAGTTTTTGCAAATTTCCACGCCCTATCTCGTCGCCCAAATCAAATGTATACAATATTTCCATCAGGGAAAAAAGTTTATATTGGAATTCCATTAGTTCGAATTTATCCATATCTGGTTTCTGTGATTGGCAATATCTGTAAAAAAATATTAAAAATTAAGAATAAATTAAGTTTTGAGGATTTAAAGTTTATTAATTTTATATTAATTTTTTATTTTATATTTGT